AGCAATGATGCTACCAAGAAAGTGCTTGTGAGCGAGTGAACCATGACGAAGCTGAAAACATCAGTAACGTAATGGAAGGAGACACCAGCCTTGGAGGAGTTTGATTTCTTAAAGGCTGGCTACAAATTGCATTCCTAATTTGTTTATTTTGTTTTGTTTTAATATTTTCATACATTTTGGTGGTTCTTTTCCAGTAGGAATTGTTTCTTATGTGTTACAGCAAAACACGAGAGTCTCATTTTAATTATAATTTCACATAATTTTTGCTATGGCTCAAATATTTCTTACAGTACTATAATACACTGAAAATTTTTCTTTCATGTATTTCACTTTATGTATATATTTTCTTTAATTTTTGAGATTATAATACATTTACATCATTTCTCCCCTCGCTTTCTTCCCTCCAAACCCTTCCACATACCGCCCCTCACTCTCTTTCAAATGTCCTCTTTTTGCATTGTTATCACACACACATATATATCCACACATAAATTCTTAAATTCAACCTGCTCAGTCTGTGTAATGTTTCTCGAAGGTATACTTTTGGTGCTGACCATTTGGATAACCAGTTGGTGTGTTCTTCCCTGGGGGAGTCTGAGACCTCGTGTGTTTCCCCTTCTCTCTGCATTCCTTGGCTGTCCGTAGTTCCCTGTGCAGGGCCGAGACCTGGTGTGTTTACCCATCTACTTTGGCATGTCTATTAGTGTCACCCACATTCAGCTCTGATCTAGGCCATCGTGTTGGTGAGACTTTATGGGTGTAGCTTCTGATGTTACTAGGAGCCTTCCTAATTAGTAATCCTATTTAAGGGACATCATTTTAAAGAGACAGTAGCATGTTTTAATTTCTTATATCTTGGTTATTACTTGTGTGGAGCAGGGCTTGGTTATGGGGCTCATGCCAACTGTGTCAAGCTTCCTCCTCGTTTCTTTCTTCCCGTCTTCCCCTGCTTCCTCTCCACTTCCTTCTCCTCTGCCTTCCCCTGCTTCCTGTTTCCTTCTCCTCTGCCTTCCCCTGCTTCCTGTTTCCTTCTCCCCTTCCTTCCCCTGCTTCCTCTCCACTTCCTTCTCCTCTGCCTCTCCCACCTTCCCCTGTTTCCTTCTCTTCTGCCTTTTCCTGCTTCCTCTTCATTTCCTTCTCCTCTGCCTTCCCCTGCTTCCTCCCCACTTCCTTCCCCCCTGCCTTCCCCTGCTTCCTCCCTATTTCCTTCTCTCCTGCCTTCCCCTGCTTCCTCTTCATTTCCTTCTCCTCTGCCTTCCCCTGCTTCCTCTCTATTTCCTTCTCCTCTGCCTTCCCCTACTTCCTCCCCACTTCCTTCTCCTCTCCTTCTTCCCCTTTCTAGTTTTCTTTCTTCCCACCTGTTATATATCAGGCTGCTCTAGGAGACCTTGGAACCTCCTCCACCCCTTCATCTTCTTTCCTTTCTCCTACTCCTCCTTCCCCTAAGGCCCATGAACACAGGAAGGGATCGTTTTTCTTAAGAAGTGCCTCTATGGTGTGTCTGCTTCTCTGGGGATGGGGGAAGGCTTTCCACTCACTGCAGAAAAACTCTCTAATAGGATTTTGGTTATGAGACTCATAAATCCCAGACCAACTTCTGGAATAGAATGGTTTATGACTAAATATTTTACATAATTAAAATGTTTTCATTGTTCTCACTGAGGGTAGATTTGTAAATCTCAGATGATTATCTCTTAGAGAGGCTTTCTGTCTGCCTGCCTGTCTGACTGTCTGTCTGTTTTTCTTTTTGTGGAAGCCTCAGAACATACCTGCCTAGACCCGAGGTTGGAGAGACATGGTTCTTGGGGCAGCTGTGTTCTCCTCATCTTTGTGACCCAAGGCAGGTCTCGGGAGCCGTGCAGCCAGCAGCGATGTGCAGAAATCTTACCCACGGCCCCAGCAGCCTGGCCCCTGCTTCCTTCAGCTCTTCACCAGAGCTTTCGTAGACATCCAGCGTTGCCTGGGAATTAATGAGTGGGCCAGAAGTCCCACTGTGATAACCAGCCAGATGGCAGATAAGGTGTCACAGTGGCCACAGCAGTGGGCAGTCCCAGGATACAGGAAAGTCTTGGACCACTAACTTTAGTGTTCTGTGAGCACCTGACTACTGCAGGGTAGATGAGAAGGAGGAGGTGCCCGTGTGCCTGTGGATTCACACACCATTTCCTCCGCTGTCTAAGGGTCTCCCGAACATATTATTGCGTGTGTGATGCTCGTGCATGCATGCACATGTGCGTGGAGGTTAGGGTTGTCCTCAGGGTTCACTCTTCCTTGGGTGCAATTCTACTTTTTGTGGCTGGAGGGCCAATGAAACCCAGAGATCTGCCTGTTTCTACCTCCCTAGCGCTGAGATTACAAAATTATGCCCCCCGCCGTGTGTGTGTGTGTGTGTGTGTGTGTGTGTGTGTGTGTGTGTGTCTTCTTGGGATTGAACCTAGGTCTTACTCAAAGCTTACAAGGCAAGTGCTTTACTAACTATGTCTCAAGCCCCTGGTACAGATTCTTGGCTGAATAGGATGTCGGCTCAACCCCAGCCTTCAGCAAGATAGCTAGCTCCTTTGAGGTCAGGTCAGCACTAGACCCTGACCTCTGGGGTGGCTTTGAGTCAGGATTTGAACAGGTATGTCTCTTGCCTTTCTACTTGCCAGGATCCTCTATTGCTAATAGTTTGTACTTCAGTACACTTGGTTTTAGAGCCCTCTGTTTATGTTTACACTTCCCAACTTTAAACACCCTTGGAGGTGCCCCTTCCCTAGCAGGATTGCCATAAATACCCATGGTCCACCAGCCTGATGCCTACCATCCTGCTTTTCATTTATCAAAGGCTGATGCGAGGCACCACATGACCTTGGCTTTGAAATCTGGGGTCCTGAAAGCAGAGCGCCAGATTCATCAGCTGATATTGGCCACACCTCCCAAGTCCAAGCCCCAAGCATTCATTTGTTTCTTATTTTTTCTAAAAGGTCTGGTAGGTACTCACAGGTGAAGACTCTGGAGAACACAGAGCTCGTGCCCAAGAGCAGAGGCCGGTCGGTAGAAACTGTCCCGTGCTATACAAAGTCACACCCGTGGGAAAAGGCACACTGCAGTTAAGCTCACTGCTTTTAGAATCCTAAGAATCTGGATTAGAGCCCATGCGTATATCTGGCCGTGTGACATGGAGAAAGCTGTTATACTCATATAGTTTTCTAGACAAGTGCAGAGAGGGGTGTGTGTGGTTGAAATATTGTGATCCCTAATAAACTTATCTGGGGTCAGAGAACAGAACAGCCACTAGATACAAAGGCTAGAAAATGGTGGCACTCACACCTTTAATCCTAGCGTTCTAGAGGCAGAGATCCATTCGGATCTCTGTGAGTTCAAGGCCACACTGGAAATATAGCCAGGCATGGTGACTCACGCCTTTAATCCCAGGAAGTGATGGCAGAAAACAGACAGGTATATAAGGCATGAGGACCAGGAACTTAGAGGCTGGTTAAAGCTTCAGGCCTTTGAGCAGCAGTTCAGCTGAGATCCATTCGGACGAGGACACAGAGGCTTCCAGTCTGAGGAAACAGGATCAGCTGAGGAACTGGCGAGGTGAGGTGGCTGTGGCTTGTTCTGCTTCTCTGATCTTCCAGCGTTCATCCCAATACCTGGCTTCAGGTTTGTTATTATTAATAAGAATTTTTAAGATTCATGCTACAGATGTGACACTTTCCATTTAAAATGAAGAAAAGCAAGGGCTGAGGCTGTGGGTCCACAAAAGAGCAAGAGGCCCTGAGCTCAATTCTCTGAACTGCAAAAGAATAAACCGTCTTCAATATAAACAAAATGGAGGTGGGGCTGGCAGGATTGCTCAGTGGGTAAAGACACCTGCTCACTGAAGACCTGAATTTGATCCTGGGGACTCACATGGAGGAAGTTGAAAACCAACTCCCTCAGGTTGCCCTCTGACCTCCATGTGCATGCTGTGGCATACGCACCCCCCACCCCCACACAAAATAAGTAAATAAAATATAATTTAAAAATAAGTAGATAAAGGAAGATGAGACTTTCAGAAGTAGGAGTGAAATGCCTAGCATAGTCGCATCTCCAAGTCTGGGAGGCAGTTCACCTTTGTATACAGCAGAGACCCCTTAATACTGTTGCAGCTATGGCCATCTGCAGGGCTTTGATAGAAAACGGCCCCCCAAAGGGAGTGGCACTATTGGGAGGTATGGCCTTATTGGAGTAGGCGTGGTCTTGTTGGAGGAAGTGTGTTACTCTGGAGGTGGCCTTTGAGGTCTCACATATGCTCGAGCCATGGCCAGTGAGACAGTTCACTGCCTTTTGTCTGCAAGGTGTAGAACTCTCAGCTCCTTTTCCAGCACCATGTCTGCCTGCATACCTCAGTGTTCCGTCACAATGGTAATGGATGAAACCTCTGAAACTGTGGCACCCCAATTAAATGTTTTCCTTTATGAGAGTTGTGGTCATGGTGTCTCTTCACAGCAATAGGAACCCTGACTAAGACACCATCCATGCAAAGGAATCCAAGCACCATAGGAGTTCACCGATTCTCAGAGGCAGCATTGATGATAAGAAGGCTTAGTATTGAGGTAGCCTTTGCAAATGTCTGCAGCACTTTCAATTGCTCTCTGGAGAGCAGTGCTCATTCAAGGAGCTGCTCCAGGAGACGCAGGTCTCGAGTTCCTCACAATTGATTTTCCTATTTTAAGGAGAAGGGCTGGCTGTCTCTTTGCAAACATCGATGCTTCTGTTGCACGCTATCGAACAGGAGCACAGAGTTGCTACGAAGCCTTGGGAGGATCTCAGCTCTGTCCTCTTCATCTATAGTCTGCCGCTGCCACTGGCCAAAAGCACAGGGAGGGCCTGTGTGTGCTACAACCAGGTCATCTTGTATGGAGCGGGAGGGGCTGCCCCAGACTCTTTAAAGAGAGAACTTCCCCAGGAAGCTCGGTTTGGTTCTCCTGACTCTGGATGATTCATCATGCCATCACTTGTTCTTTGCTTTCAAGGTGAACTGAAAGATACCCTCCCTGCGAAGACGTACCCACAGTGAATCTGTGAGTATAATTGTACTTGGGTAAAGAGTTCTTTCAGAGTTAAGTGAAGAATCTCATGATGACATAATTCTGGATTGTTTTAGTTATCCCTAAACCCAATGGTAAGTTTTCTTAATAAGAGGCAGAAGAGTAGGTGTAGACACACAGAGAAGAAGGCTGTGTGGACGGAGAGGCAGAGATGATAGTGATGCAGCCAAGTCTAAAGATGCCCAGAGCCACCAGTACTGGAAGATCAACAGAAGAGCCTGCCCTGGAGCCTTTGCGGGGTATGATGCTGCTGACAACCGTGACTTGGGAGTTCTGCTCTCCAGAGCTCACAAATACAGACACACATACTAACAGACAGACATACAGACACACACCACACACAAATACACAGCACACACGTAGACATACAGACATACACACACTACACATATAGACACACAGGCACACACACAGAACACAAATGGAATCTATTAATAAAAATGACAACACAGGAAGAAACTATAGGAAAGAGAAATACTGCTGTGCTCCTGAGCACTGAGAAGCCACTTGTCCCCTCCTTAAGAGGGAAACCACTGGAACTAATGTGTCCCCACAGCTCTTTCTCCGACTCTCTAAAGGGTTAGAGTGGCTGGTAGCTTCATTCAGCTGCTTGGAGCGTTCCCCCATTTGTATTCCCTCCACATGCATCTCCCCATCACAGAGGGACTTGCAGAGCAAAGCCTGACATTTTCCAGTTCTTGAGTCTGTGCCCAGAATCAACAACCCTCACCAGGAAGAGTGAATAAATCCTCAAGATCCTAGAGCAGAATTCCCCTGGCTGCCTGGCCGTGGCTTCCCCTTCCTGCCCCTGAAGCTGGTGCTGGCGTCTCATGATGACAATGTTGACAAAAGAGTGGTCCCAGAGCAGAATGGTAAATACAGCCATCCTTTCACACCTACGGCTTCTGCATCCTTAGACACAACCGGCCACAGATCAAAAACAGTTAAAAACAATTCATCTGAGCTGAATGTATACCAGCTTTTCCCTAAACCACTTTTTTTTTTTTTTTTTTTTACCACTCCTAGACAGTATAACAACTGTTCATGTGTCTACACAGGTGTTATGTGTCAACAAATTTATGTTGAATAAGACACCGTAGTAATCTAGAGATGAATTAAAGTGTATGAGAGGCTGGGTGTGGCACAGAATGCCTGTAATTCCAACAACTGAGTGGCCAAGGAGGAGGGATGCCATGAGGTAGTGATCAGCCTCTACTGTATGGAGTGATCCTGTCTCAAAAACAATAAATGAAAACACTCCTTTGCAAAACCAAACAGATCATTATCAACAACAAACAAAAACAAAGTCTCCAGGAGGATGTATACTGATCCCCAGTGACTCCTGTGGCTTTTTATATAAGGGACTTAGACATTTTTGTATCCTTGGGGTTCTGGATTCAATCGGTCCCTCATAGGCACCCAGCATGTCTGTACTGATTCAGCTTCAGTGACTTCAGGAGAGTCCAGCCTGTCCCTTTTGTTCAGGACTATAAACCTTAAGAACGGCAGGATGTGGGTTAGGGGACAGTGTGGGATTTGCTTGCGGGCCATTTTTTATGGCTTGCTTGAGACCCACGTGACTTCACAGAGACCCCTTATCTATGGATAGGCTCACATTTTGCACATATGGGAAGGCTGCCCCGGTGTCGCATAGGTAACTTGTGTGTTGCATGAACTGGGCATGGTGCCGTGGTTCAGGAAGGTCAGAAACAGCTGCTCCCCATCACTACATTTCTTCCCCCATCGTTCCACCTCTGTCCAGTCCCATGGATTTTCCAGTCTATTTTAGGTCTTCATAAGCAGTCCCATTTAGGTTTATAAAGTCCAGACTAAGCTAGTATCAAAGCCCTATGACTTTTCTGAGGAGAAAGCTATAGGCAATGTCAGGCACTTGTCTCTGAGTAGGTTTTCCAGACTCCAGGAGTGACCTCATTCTTGAAGGAGCTCCTGGAAGGTCCTCGTGCCTAGTTTTAGGCATGTCCTCTTTTTCCTGATGGAAGAGAGAACACACAACCCTCCAGACTGCAAGAAAATCCCACTTGGACTTTTATCTCTAATTATTTTTACTCTGTGCGCATCCCCTGTGGGCAGTTCCAGCCATGAGTCACACACTTGCTTTGGGGCTCCTCTGTAGATGGGGAGGCTCTTTCCAGGGAGTGTGCTGCCCTGGTTGAAGAGGACTCACCCCCTGAGTACGCCTTGGGAGTGCTCAAGCTCTCCATCCCTTACCTACTCCTCCTTCTACCGCTTCTTTAAGCTCTGGTTCCCTGGTACCCATGTGGTCTTCAGCATGGCATGACAACTTTGCCTGAGGGAATAACTGAGCTCCAGGCCTAGGGCTTTCTTGACCCTTCTAAGATCTACCAAGTCACTCTCAATATGGTCTTCATCCACTCTGGTTGCTGCTGACTCCTTGGGAGAGAGGGCTTAAAAAGGATCAGATCTGTAGCAAGAGGAATAAAGTGAGGTCTCTTTCTACCAGTGATGGGGGACCAGTGTGCTCCACTGCCAGCGAAGATGTTGGGAGCACTCTGAGGAGCTGTATTCTAGCAGCAGCAGTACCACCCCTCCCATCCCCCACTGCCATCAGGTCCATAAGGTAAGGGTTACTCCTCCTCCTAACACCGTTTTGGCTCCAGTCCTTAATGCCCTGGGGCTGGGTTCACCTTTCCTTTTAGTGACAAAGAAAAAAACATCTGGAAAACTCAGCTTAAAGGAGGAATGACTTGTCGTGGCTTACAGTTTCATAGGTTTTAGTCTGTGGCTGCTTGGCCTCGATGCTGTGAGCTTGTGATGGGCCGGACCATTATGACAGAGGTAGTACATCAGAGGTACTCACCCCAGATTGACTCTGAAGGGGGGGCATGCTGAGATCAAGGTATAGCCATTAGCGACATGCATACCTCTGGAGAACTACTCCCTCCAATCAAGTCTCACCTCCTAATAGTTCATTGCTTGTGAATTCATCAATCAATGAGTTAATACATTGGTGAAGTTAGAGCTTGCTTGGTCCAATCATCTCCCAGAAGCCCATTAGCTAGGCATCAATTCTTTAACGCATGAACCTTTGGAAGACATTTTGATGCACATCATAATGGGCCAAGATATTTAATTTGGTGAGATTCTCACTTCAAGATGGATGGCACCATGTTTGGGCAATTCCTTTCTAATTTCCAGCAGAGGAGCATGGCTTTATTCCACTTCAGAGGGAAGTCATGTGGGAAGAAGACTGAGAAGAGGCAAGAGTTTGAAGCAGAGAGAGGAGTTTGAGTCCCTCTTTGAATGAATGTCCCTCTGGGAATAATTGGTTGCATTTGAGCAGCGTGTAGTGTGCAGATGGGACACTCGGGGGGAGAAATGGTATCAAGAGGGGAAATTAAAGGACAAGCCAATCACCAACGGTATCCGGATCTGTTGGTCCTGCCAGAGTCTGAGGTTTATTCTTAAGGCAATGGGAATGATGACAAGATTTAAGGCAGGCAATTAACAGCAGCGGCTCAATGTTTTAGAACAAGGGCTCTGATTGCCTCCCAGGGCAAAAAATGTAATGGGTCCAGACAAGCTCAAAGCGGGAGATCAGGTAGGAGGCTATGGCTGAAGTCCAGGGAGGGATGATGAGTTTGGGCCGAGGCAATAACAAGAGTGGGAGGCCTTGGGGAGGCAGGAGATGAGTCAGCCAGGGGCCTCGGTGGAGGCGGAAAGCAGAAGAGAGAGAATCTGGCTTGAACTATGGGTTGCTTGACTTGGGGAGCACATGAGGGGGACAGCCCTCACCCTGTCCTGAAAGGCTGTGGGGTCCCCTGTCCCTGGATAGGCACAACTCCGTCCCTGGCCCTGGTTCCTCAAGGGACAGTTCCCAAGACTGCTGTCCCTTCTCTGTTAGAGTCCAGAGGATGCACCCACTCCAGAGCAGTATGGCAGAGTAACTTCCTATCTTGTCATGTTCCATGGGTAAAACAGCGCCTATCAGCTGTGGCTTCCATGCCTTTGGGAACAGAAAGAAAAAACTAGATGTTTTCACCTTGATTTTGCCCATATTTGATCTGCCATTTGAGGATATTCAGCCCAACAAACATCTAATTATATTGGACCAACATAGGTCTTGCTTGGTTTTATTTTTTCTTCTTCTTTGTTCTCTTTGCCTGTTCAGAACATTCAAAGTTTACTGATCTAACAGACCAAAGAAAATACCACCCATGACAGAGCTGGCTAAACAGCAATCCTATTATCCCTCTCTGGCACGATGGGAAAGTGCATTTCCCAAATACCGCTGTAATTAGGCTGAGGCCACGTGACTGGGTCTGGCCAATGCTGCAGGCTAGAAAAGACGTCAAGTGGCTTCTGGGCCTGGCACAAAGCCCTGCACTCAATGGCTCATGCGCTCTCCTCCTGTGGTAACATCAAAGGCCACGAGTGAAAGATGGTGGCGATCCAAGATGGAAGCTGTTTGGATTCGTGTGTCACCTCTTGGAAGAGAGCCACTAATCTGCTTTGGCTGTGACTTGAGCAAGTAGTAAACTTAAAGTGTGTCAGGCCTATGAAGCCAAGGGTTCTTTATGTAGGGCTTGTTATCCCAGCTCAGGCACTTGGTCAGCAGTAAAGCATGGCTTTTCTCTAGGATCACTCAAACCTCTATGCACTTGGCTGTCTACACTGGTGCTCGCTGGCTGGAGCCTGGCATTGTCGTGAGAAGACAGACAGTCTATGACAAAGCATATTGGCCTCTTGTCACAGCATCTGAAAACAGACTACAGATATTTGAATGGGTATATGTACATATATACACACTTTTATGGACAAGCCTTGAAGCATTTGCTGATAAACACATACTTCTGGGGAAATTCATATTTTCTAAATCAAAGTCAAGAAAAATGAAGTCGATCTGGGTATGGAGGCTCACGCACTTGTGAGGCTGGGGCAGGAGTACTGCCGTATATTAGAGGCTAGTGTGGCCTACACAATGAGATGCTGTCTCAAAAGGAAAATAAGAGAGAAGAGAGGGAAAGAGGAAGGAAAGAGACAGAAAATAAGCAGAAAGAGAGAGGAAGGTCAAATGAAGACAGAGTTCTTCATGCTTCCAAACAGCGTTGTTTTACTGAACTGGAACATAATGATGCTGCCCCATGGAGTGTGTCCTCAGGCTCCCCCAACTCCCATCTCAATGCTTGTCTTTGAGGAGAGCACCTTTTGTTATACCTCAAGCGTTCATTGCCATCTCCAAGGGGACAGCTGGGTACTTTCGCTCTCCAGATGAAAGGCCACTACGTAGGCAGTGGGCACTCGAACCTCAGGATGCCTTTGAGCTGAGAATGAACTCTGGAGAAAGCCAAACCACTGTGCATGGAAACAAGAGCCGAGGGCTGGGAGGCTCATGGTGTCCTCTCTGGAGGCTTTCATCCTACTGAGGAGCAGAGTGAAGGGAGGAGAACCAATGTCTAGGATGAGCCACCACAGCAGCAGAGAGAAAAAACCAACAGGGAGAACAGGACTCTTAAAAATGTCACTCAAATATCCAAACACACTGTGACAGTTTCTGACCTACGGTTCACCAGTGGCTGAGAGAAACAGAGATGGAGCTGAGTGATATGAAGACGGGGATGTGGCTGGGCAGATTGGGACAGGGACAGAAACAGGAAGAGGAAAAGGCTATGAGACATGGTGACAGATGTGTCCCCTCTGCCACCACACCGCAGAAGCCCATAAAGCTATACCTGATGCTAATTGTGCTTTTAAGCTGTGTGTGGGGTGGGTCCACTCACCCACACGGGCATGCGTGGAGGCCCAAGGCTTGTATTGGATCGTCTTCCTCGAATGCTTCTTTACCTTCTTTTTTGAGACAAGGTCCCTTACTGAACCTGAAGCTGTCTGGTGAGCCCCCAGGCTCTCTGTCCCAGAACCCTGAGCTGATATCACAGGTATGTGCTGCTACTATGACCAGCTTTACATGGGTTCTAGAGATGCAGACCCAGGACCCCAGGCTCACTCACTGAAACATTTCTCCTGCCCTGTGCTCCTGTTTCTACCTGAGAAAATGTTATTTGGAACTCCTCGAAAACGTTTTGCTTTCTACCTCAGATGTAGAAGCCAGGGCTTCTAGGAGAGGTCTCTTTCTTGTTTTCTTGTGGAAATTCCAGGCTAACCACACTCAGCCATTAGTTTCTGCCTCCTCCGGTCATCTGTAGTGAGCTGTGGCGTGCCTTTCTTCTGGGAGGCCATGTTTCTTTGTGTGGGTTTAAACCTTTCATGCTTCCAGGATGCATTTGTTTATTGTTCCTGACACCTCTCTGCACATGCTTCCACACCAGACAGAATTTAGTTAGGGCCGGAGCTGCCCAGGCTTAGCTGCGGCCGTCACATTTTTCTTTTCTTCTTTTTTAATGTAGCATCTTTTCAGCAGATGGTGGCAGAGGAATTAGTAGCACTGGATTCTAGTTCATAACCATTTGGATGATCTTGACCCTTGACCTTTGCCGCTTTGGACGGAACGGCCAAGTGATGACCTGGTTCATGTCTGTAGATTCTCTGTCTCTGACTCTTGGGTAACCCTTGTAGGTAAACTTTGCCTCTTTGCTCTCTTCACTTTTTCTTTTCAGCAGTGACCCCTCTGCTCTTCAGTCTGGCCTCCTCCAGCAGAGGATGGCTAGGAACAAAGATGGCTGAGCATTGTGCTGACTCGGATGAGCTTGGGTAAAATGTGTGTGGAAGGAAGTCAGACGCACCTAAATTTAGGTTTACATCATTGTAACAAAATACCCAAGGCTGGTAACTGTATATATATAAAAAGACATGGCTTATTTACATTACTTACAGTTGTGAATGTCCAAGGACCCACATCTTGTGATGGGTGGCCTTCTTGGTGGCCAAGTCCCGAGGCTGCTCAGATATCACAGAGTGAGAGGCAGGGAATGTACACACATGTGTTCCAGTCTTTCTCCCTCTAAGAAAGCCACTAGAATTCAATCATGGGGCCGCCACATGAGGAGTTTAATCCCAATCACCCCCAAACTCATCTCTATACATTACATTAAGTTCATTCACATCTTAATTCCTCAAAATGGGGATTAAATTTGAACTCATAACCCTGGGGGACACATTCTAACCCTTTGCAAATCATAGCATATGGTTGATGGATCCAAGTTCCATTGTTCTTTTTTTTTTTTTTTAATTTTACAACACCATTCAGTTCAACATAATAGCCACAGATTCCCCTGTTCTCCCCCTTTCGCCCCCCC